AAAAAGAAAGAAAGACCAAAACCTAAAATGCAATAAAATAAATGGGGGAAAAATAAAAAAGAAAGAAAGAAAAGAGAAGAAAAAAAGAAAAAAATTTACACCTCAAAGGCTCAAAAACAGGTACTCAAATATTTGTTCACAAATGCTAAAATTTGCCATATTCACAATAGTCAAAAGGTGTATAAAACAAATTGTGATGTATATATACAATGGAATATTATTCAGCCCTTAACGGAATGAACTACTGATACATGCTACAGCTTAAATGAACCTCAAAAACATATATAATAAGTGAAAGAAGTCACACAGAGAAGGTGACACATTGCATGGTTCCTTTTATATAAAATGACCAGAACTGGCAAATCCTTAGGGACAAAAAGCAGATTCATCATTGCCAGGGGTACGGGAAGAAGAGAACAAATAGTGATTACTTAACAGGTATAGGGTATTTTTCTGGAGTGATTTTTAAAGTTTTGAGGAAAGAGAGACAGGATAGTTGCTACAATGGACTAAATGTTTGTGTCTTCCCAAAATTCCTATGTTAAAATCCTAACCCCCAAAGTAATGGTATTAGAAGGTGGGCCCTTTGGGATACAATTAGGTGATGAGGGTAGGACCCTCATAAATGAGATTAGTGCCCTTATAAAAAAGATCCCAGAAAACGCTCTCACTCCTTTGGTCACATGAGGGTACAACTAGAAGTCAGTAGTCTACAATGTGGAAGAGGGCCCTCATCAGAACCAGACGATACTGGGACCCTGATCTCAGACTTCAAGCCTCCAGACTTGTGAGAAATAAATTTCTATTATTCGTAAGCCACTCAATCTATGGTATTGTGTTACAGCAACCCAAAGTAAGATAGCTGCACATTTATGAATGCCCTAAATGCTACTGAATTGGTACACTTTAAAACGTTTACTTGTATATTACGTGAATTTCAAAGCACTTTAAAAACCAGACTGAAATATTATCTTCAAATCATTCTGAAGACTAACCCAAAAACTCGATAAATATACTTTGCTGAAAAGGCTAAGAAAAAACATACATTTTAATATACCACTGATGAGTATAAGAATACAATTCCTATAGCTGACAATATGGCAGCATGTAATATAACAAATACATTTACCTACAGACATTCTTTCATAAAGACCAAATATGGTATATATAAAATTACTCATTACAGTACTCTCTATAACAGCAAGACTACAAATAACATAATGGTCTTTTAATAGAAGACTAGTTAAATAAATTATTGTATATATACACAAAGGAATGCAATTAGCCTGTGTTTTTAAAAATGAAGGAGAAAGATTTCTATACACCATTATCTTTTGTGTAAGACAGCTTAGGCGGAGAAGGAAAGGATATATATTCCTACCTTACAGGTATGGAAATTAGATAGATGGACAGTTAAGTTCAACAAACTAGTTAAGAGCAGTTAACTGTGTGTAATGGATGAGAAGGCAGGAAGGCAAAAACTATTACACAACTTTTAAGCTTTTTTATTTTGAACCATGAAAATGAATTTCAAAAAGATAAATTTTAAACACTACTAACTGCTTTCAAATTAAAACAAATTCTAACAGGTCTGTTGACTAATAGGACTATATGACAAAATTTATATACAGCATTATGACCAGTGCTTGCCTCACCTACTTTAAGGCTGTAAAATGAGCAAACTCTCTTACTTTCAAATAGCCTATCTCTTGCCAATCCTGACCCATCTCCATGCTCTACGATTTAGCCACAGAACCCTTTATGTCCTGGACTAAACCTTGCTTTCTTGTCTTAAGGTCTTTTTACATAATATGTTATCTTTTGCCTTTCTCATCCTTCTAACTTCCTTTTACTCATCTTTATTCTGACCTTAGAGTTTGCTTTTTGTAGGATATACTTTTTTACAAACTCCCCACATTCACACATATACACAGAGACACACATCCTGGGCTACATCAGCATCCCTTGCTTCCTTGTTATTCCCACAGTGTCTTGTGGTTGGGGACATATGCTCCAGCTGACACAGCTTGACTCTGAATCTCGAGTTTCACACCTATTAACTGTTTAACTTAGAACAAATTTACCTAAATCCTTTCATCTCAGTTTGTTGATCTACAAAATAAAGATCACATCTGTCTGATGGAACTGTTAACAAAGATTAAATGAGCTAATGTATGTAAAGCACACAGCTTGCCACATACTAAAACAGTCATTAAATAGCAATCAGTTTTATTACACTTATCATAGCACCAAGCACTCTGCTCAACTATTAATGGATTTCCCTCTTTGTTCCTCACAACGAAGATGCCTTTAAAAATTACACATACTCTAACACTTCTTAGGGGTAGAGACTGCCTTGATAACTTCCGTGTGCCCTGGTGGAGTATCTCATACAAGGCTGGTGCTCTGTAAATATTTGATAACCTACTTATGTCAATATGGCAAGTGATAACTTGGACGTAAATAAACAAGCCTTCAAGAAATCAATTTGGTGGGTTATCTCAATAAAAGATTACTATTCTTTCTGTATTCACGAATAGAGAATGGTTGATTTAACAACTGATTTCCCCCATGTAGTACAATTTAACCTGTTAAGATTTATCTAGAGGAGAAAAAGATCTAGCAGTTATCTCTTAAAATGATAAAAATAAAATTTCACTTTAACTATCTTACAGTTGTAAACTTAAGACACGTGATTCTGCTACTTGTGTTACTTTTAGAAAATTATTTAACCTTCCAGTTTTAACTGTAAAACGAGTACCAAATATTGGCGGGAATATAAAAGAATGAAAGCTAGCAACTAGCATACTTCCTAATGCAGAGCATATGTTCAAATAGTATGAATAAAAATTATAAAAGCCCATGATCTAAAAAATCAATTCATAAACTACTGAATTTCAGATTTCCTCCCAAAATTTCAAAAACTATAGAAATGTGTTACTTTATAGGCGCAAAACTGAACAAGCACAAAAACGGAATATCCTTAAATAACTTACCAATAATATTCTCTATTAGAAAAAGGTTAGAATATAATCTTTTATTTCAGGATAAATTATATATGACTAGTAGCAGGTGAAGTGAAAGTCACACTGCCGGACTGACAGGCTCAATGTACATCATTTATTCCAACATTCTGTACCTCGACATCCTGAACACTGGATAAAAAAGTTGATTAAATCCAGAAGTGCGATGTCCCTGTCTTGTTTATATGATTCAATCCAGTCATCCACCACGGACTGTGGAAAAAAAATATAAAAATGAAAACTTCAAAAAATTTTGATATTATAGCAAATAAATTTTCAAAAAAGTTTGTGTGTTTGTGTGTGTCTGTCTGAACAATAAAATTACTTACCTGAAATTATTTTTCTGTAGCCTAATAAAAATAGAGACTTCCTCATTTTTAAAGGCCAATAAAAAGTGATTTACCAGGTTTCAAAGATTTGTTTGTAATAGAAACCAAAACAAACGTGACTTTACCAATCCCATGAAGTCCAATAATTATTAAGCAAGTATAGATAATATTCACACCATATTACGAAAATGACAAAAATTAACTTCACTTTTACATAGATAACAAACTTTGAGTTATCAAAAAGCATAATCCATTAATAGTGCATTAAAAACATGCACATTACACAATAAAAGGCGTTTTTTCAAGAATACAAGAATGGCTTAATACTAGGAAATCAAATAACAGAATTTATCAACAAAGTGAAAAAGAAAAATGAAACAATTATATATCAAATTAGATCTCAAAAATATATCTGACAAAATTTTACAGCCAATCCTTA